GGCTAATTTTTTTGATTTACTGTAGAGATGAGGTCTCGCCAAGTTGTCCAGGCAGGTCTCAAACCCGCGGGCTTGGGCAGTCCACTCACCTCAGCCTCCCAAAGCGTGGGATTACAGGCTAAGCCACCAAGCCCAGCTTGTTTTTTTCTTATCTTTAAATTTTTTTGTAGGGACAAAGTCTCACTATGCTGCTTAGGCTGGTCCCTAACTCCTGGGCTCCAGCAATCCTCCCTCGTCAGCCTCTCAACATTTTGGGATTGCAGGCATGAGCCACCATCTCTGGCCTCACATGTAGTGATTTATTTTTATTTTTGATTTTTGAGTCAGAGTCTCATTGTGTTGCTCAGGCTGGAGTGCAATAGCATGATCACAGCTATTACAACCACAACCTCCTGGGCTCAGGTGACCATTCTGCCTCAGCCTCCCAAGTAGCTGGGACTACAGGAGTGTGCTACCATGCACGGATAATTTTTGATTTTTTATATAGATGAGGCCTTGCCATCTTTCCTAGGCTGGTCTCAAACTCCTGGGCTCAGATAATCCTTGTACCTCGGCCTCCCAAAGTGCTGGGATTACAGGCACGAGCCACCGTGCCCAACCAGTGTTTTTGATAATGCTCACAGTATTTGATTATCTAAAATATCCAATTTCTTGGATAATGGTTCCTATAGAATCAAATATATAAAACTGAGAATGTTTTGGAAAATAGCTATTATAGCAGGGTCATATCAACAAATTGGTTTTTGATAAATTGAATAAAGCAAAGGAAATTACGAATGAAACTTTTTTCACTAAGCAAAAGCATTCTATGAAGAGAAGTAAAATAATTGCTACTTAAAACTGCAAGTTCCTTAAGTTAATTCTGCTTTATTCCTAAGAGAGTTGCAAAATTGTTCTCTAACACAAAAAATTATTCTTCAGGAAAATACTCTAGTAGTCTGCTTTGGGGAAAAAAAAAAAGTGGAGGCCAAAGGATATGGAACGGACAGACAATGGCGAGTGAAAGGGTAAGAACATGAGAGAGAGGCTTATGTGAAGTTCGGGTGACCTTGAGAAGATCAAGAAGGAGTGAGAATGGTTTTAAGAGGAGGCACAGAAAAAACTGGGCAGGAGGTTAGGGGACCTGAAGAGAAGAAATGGCCAATGAGATATTGTGAGGAACAGAAGAGCCAGAGGATTTTAAAATAGGAATGTCTGATACTGTGTTATAATCCATTTGCTATACTTTGATTTGGCATAATGTCCCTTTTCCCCATTAACAACTGTCATGTCGCTCTGGGGAACCAAAGGAAAAGAGCTTGTGTTCCCCATCTGGAACACAGAGAGAAGAGACTAGCAGCAGGAGATGAGGTGTGAGTGAAGAACGAGATGATGAAATTGGTGGAGACTGTATAGATTTTGGGGCATGGGTAGATAAGAAGAAACAAAATCCTCTGGAGAATTTCCTATCGTGTGTGTGTGTGTGTGTGTGTGTGTGTGTGTGTGTGTGTGTGTGTACACGCATGTCTCTATGGTCTAGTAACAGTGAAATGACAAAAGACTACCATAACTGTCGGTGACCAGCACTGACCAAGGGTGGGTTAGGACCCGCACCAGAGAATCTGGACAGTGAGAAGACCACTCGGAGGCAGTTCTTCTGAGAACAGTCTGATCAGGACTGGAGCCGATTTTATTCAAACCTTTTCCAACTTATATACCATTTTCTATACCCTCCAGCAATGTGATAATCACTCACTGGGGGCGTACAAGTTTCGTGCTTTACAAACTATGCATCACAAGACCACCACGAGATCTGCAATTTCCAAGCAAACAATTCGAATTCCATGATGCCTGCCGTGCTTACATTAAGGTCACAGGTGCACAATTTCAATACAAATCGTTCAGAGTGTTTTCCATAATGTTCAATGAATCATTTCATATTATACTCTTTGCTCTAACCCCTGATTAATACAAAAAAACTTTTCTGAGTTAACTCTAGGTTCAATCCAAGTTCACTGACTCCCAATATTTTTAACAATTAATATTATCAACTTAACAC